AAGGGTGTGTGGGAGGGGAGGGGGGTCCAGGTTGTGAGGCAGGGGTGGGGGGAAATGGGGATGAGGGAGGAGAGGTTGACTCCCCGGGTCTGTGTCCGGGGTGGCTGGCGAGTGTGGTGGGGAATGGGGCAGTCGGTGTGGCTGCTGCTGGACAGCCAACGCCGAGTGCCACGGTGAGCCCGGCGGAGGATTCCCAGGCTGGAACAGAGGGAGGTTGTGGGAGGGTCAAGTGGGGATAGAAGACGAGAGGGACGGAGAGAGAGGAGGAGAGAGCGGGAGAGATGCAGAGGGGGGAGGGTTTGGGGGGAGAGAGGAGGGGGGCGGGAGGGAGGGGGTGAGGGGGCTCGGGTCAAAGCGGCAGCCATAGTGCGCACGCGGGGACCGGGAGCGAGCGGTCAGGTGGATGGCATTATCCCGTAGATTGGGGCAGCGAACCCAACAGGACCATAGTGGGCTCTGATGTGAGCCCTGGGGGGGGGGGCGAGGAGGGTTTTTTTTTTTTATTTTGTGCACTTAGCTGCTTCCCCTTCCATCCCTCTGACTTTGTCTTCCAGAACCCTTATTTCTTCTTTTATTGCCGCAATCCCTGCTCCCTACTCTTTTGCTCTCATTTCTACCTCGTTCCTCATCGATTAGATGAAACTTATCAATTGCTCCCTTCATCCCATTCCCCCCACTCTTCCCCAACTGCTGATCTCGCACTGTCGCTCCTCTAACCCCTACAGGTGGACACAGTCAACCTGTCCATCTCCTCTGGCACTGTCCAGCTTCCCCTCAGAACTGCTATCCTCGCCCCTCCTCAAAAAAAGCAACCTTGATCCATCAAATGTCACTTACTATCTCAAACCTGCATTTCTTTTCTAAAGTCCTGGAACTAAAGTTGTCGCCACCCAACAGAGCGGTCGAGGGGAGGGTGGCCTGACTGTCCAGTGCAGTGCTGTAGGAGGGGAGGGTGGCCTGACTGTCCAGTGCAGTGCTGGGGAGGGAGGGTGGGCTGACTGTCCAGTGCAGTGCTGGGGGAGGGGAGGGTGGGCTGACTGTCCAGTGCAGTGCTGTAGGAGGGGAGGGTGGCCTGACTGTCCAGTGCAGTGCTGGGGGAGGGGAGGGTGGGCTGACTGTCCAGTGCAGTGCTGGGGGAGGGGAGGGTGGGCTGACTGTCCAGTGCAGTGTCGGGGGAGGGGAGAGTGGGCTGACTGTGCAGTGCTGGGGGAGGGGAGGGTGGGCTGACTGTCCAGTGCAGTGCTGGGGGAGGGAGGGTGGGCTGACTGTCCAGTGCAGTGCTGGGGGAGGGGAGGGTGGGCTGACTGTCCAGTGCAGTACTGTGCAGTGCTGGGGAGGGGAGGGTGGGCTGACTGTCCAGTGCAGTGCTGGGGGGGGGGAGGGTGGGCTGACTGTCCAGTGCAGTGCTGGGGGAGGGGGGGTGGGCTGACTGTCCAGTGCAGTGCTGGGGGAGGGGAGGGTGGGCTGACTGTCCAGTGCAGTGCTGGGGGGGGGGGGGGGGGGCTGACTGTCCAGTGCAGTGCTGGGGGGGGAGGGTGGGCTGACTGTCCAGTGGCTGGGGGGGGAGGGGGGAGTGCAGTGGGGTGGGCTGACTGTCCAGTGCAGTGCTGGGGGAGGGGAGGGTGGGCTGACTGTCCAGTGCAGTGCTGGGGGAGGGGAGGGTGGGCTGACTGTCCAGTGCAGTGCTGGGGGAGGGGAGGGTGGGCTGACTGTGCAGTGCTGGGGGAGGGGAGGGTGGGCTGACTGTCCAGTGCAGTGCTGGGGGAGGGGAGGGTGGGCTGACTGTCCAGTGCAGTGCTGGGGGAGGGGAGGGTGGGCTGACTGTCCAGAGCAGTGGTTGGGGGGGGGAGGGGGGTGACTGTCCAGTGCAGTGCTGGGGAGGGGAGGGTGGGCTGACTGTCCAGTGCAGTGCTGGGGGAGGGGAGGGTGGGCTGACTGTCCAGTGCAGTGCTGGGGAGGGGAGGGTGGGCTGACTGTCCAGTGCAGTGCTGGGGGAGGGGAGGGTGGGCTGACTTTCCAGTGCAGTGCTGGGGGAGGGGAGGGTGGCCTGACTGTCCAGTGCAGTGCTGGGGGAGGAGGGCTTCATTCATTTTGCTCACACCCACTGCTCTACCCACCGCCTTCACTCGGCTGGCACGGACCTCGTCCCCTCCACTCCATAATTTGCGGCCGTGCTTTCAGCCACTGTGCCCCAAACCTCTTGAACTCCTTGCCTGAATCCCTCTGTTTTGGTCCCTCTCTGCACTTCTTCAAATCACACCTGAAGACTTTTTTCTTCTATGGTGACTATCTCCCCTTCCGTTTCCCCATCAACTCATTCTGCTATTAAGTGCTCGGTGAATCTACCCGCGTGAAGGGTGCTACGTAAATACAAGTTGTTGTTGTAAATAGAATAAGCAGCGCACATGCTACTTCAGATCGCAAGATTGAAGAGTCTTGATACAATTCCTGTTTAAGGCAACTCCCTGATCAACGAAGAAATTGTTTAAAAAAATGCAAATCTATGTCCTTCATTTTTAGAATTTCCGTTCTTTTCTGTTCGAGAAAATGTGCCAATGATAATAATTGAGACATTTCCCGTCAGTATTTTCTGAATTTCTAATATTAGTTTCTTCTGTTTTACATCAGCCCACTCGATGTGGGTGTGTGCCCAGCACCACTGGTGCCTGAATCTGTAGAACGTCTCCTGAGATCATGTTAAATCATTTGAAGTTTTGATTATTTCAGTCATCTTTCTTATGAGTCCAGCATTCTTTAATATCAAAACCAGCAACTGATTAGGCTTCAGGATTGTGATTTAGAATGCTGTTATGGAAAGAATTAATTATTATTCTCTCCCCAATCACTAATAAATACACTGATGTAACATACATTGTATATGTTACCTTACCCAGATCCCTGTGTAATGTTGAAAGGATACAATCTCTATGCAATTTCCATAATATGAAAAGAACTAAGATATAAAAGAGCAATAAAAAAAGATTGTTCTAGAATTCTATGGACAGAAAAAAACTTCTAGGTCATTGCCATGAGCTGAAAGATACTTTACTGAATAAAGTGAAGAGAATGGGTTGTTAGGCGTATCAGATGTATGATGACATTACAGCCTTGCTCATCGGCAGGACTTGGAAGGGTAAACTAGTCACTGGGGGCAGGGACTCTTCCATTCAGCTCCTGTTAACCCTGCAAGCCTAAGCCTTAACGGGTAGGGTGGTCCTGGCTGGTCAAGCAAGGAGATACATTTGCTAGTATTTGCTGTCTTGGAAGTTCTATATTAGTGCTTGACCTCACACTAACTCAAATCTTCCTCTTATCTGAAGCATTCAACATCTCTCTACCAACTCATCCCCATGCTGTTTGATGTGTCACTCTCTCCATGTACAGACCTTCAAACTCAGATATTCTATGTGAACATTATATAAGAGAAGGCTGTCCATTGGATCATTGTTAAGAGCTTTGAAAGGCCCACCAGACGATGACCCATGTGTGATTTGCACTTTATTTATACTGCACGGGTGGGAATTGCACTGCTCCTGAAATAGCCTCCTCCAGGTGCTTACAGCAGTTGGGGTTCCAAGTGCTTTGTGTGTATGAGCCTCAGTAATGTATGTTAGTTGCTGCCAAATCCATGATTGCTGTACAACAGGTGGTCCAGCCTTTTGGCTGCTAAGGGCTGGGAAACATCCACGGGCCGCATAAGCCTGAGCCCCTGGTGACCGTCTCCAATCGGACAGTCCTGTTGTAGGTAGGAGCGCGAGTCCTTAGTGACCGTCTCGTGATTGCCTTGGGTCCTGCATGTCACCTATATTTTCTCGTTGGACAATGTAGTTGGAAATAATTCACGGGTCGGATTAAATCATTCCCCGGGCTGCCAGTTGTCCCACCCTACTATAGAATAAAGAACGCTATTCTTCTGACAATCCTCTTATACAATTCCTCAGCCAACAACTTGTTCTTGATTTCTTTAAATAAGAGCCAACCATAATGTGCAAAGAAAAACTATCCGAATCCCAGCCAAACCTCTCACAATTTAATAAGTAACTGTTAAACTTTTAACAGTATTGAGTTGCTACTTGTGTTTACCCATATAAAAATAATTCCCGACCCTTCAGCAAGTCCTAAGTGTATCTCAAAATAATCAGTTAGCTGATGCAAAAGTTCCAAAATAAAATCTTTTTAAGATCTCACGTTCAGTGTGTGACATCTGATGAGCAGAATGGCGAAGTCAGACTTTATTTGGACTTAGCGCAGCTAATGTACATTGTTTTGTTAGTAAGTGTCAAAATTCATTTTGTATCTGTTCCTGTAAATCAGCACAGAGTAATTAGAGGATTGATCTATTTGTCATTGCCAGTTAGGGGTTTCCACATGTTCTGTTTGACTTCACTCTTCCTATTTTGCTTCTTATCTACATCTATTTGTAGTAATAAAGATGACAGACAGCTGTTGTAAACTTGCAGCACGGACATTAATTTGGCACTTCTTTTCAGTACTTCTCTTTTACAGTAAAAGTGCTTCTGTAATTTGCATAAACAATTTGTACAATTGAACCAACTTCTTCTCTGCCAAGAGTCTGTCTAATTGTGGTTAATCGGAAAGCAGACTTTCTTTTCCAATATCTCTTATTGTGATTCTTTATTGCAGGTATTTAGAAAACTTTACATGAGCTACGCCAGATTTCAGTTTAGATTTAAAATGATTAGTGTTTCCCAGAATACCATTTAGGTCATGGGTGCCCACAGTGTAAGCCTCGACCATAAGCTAAAGTCAAGCGCGGTTTAAACCTACAATCATCTGACCCAGAGGCAAGAGTGGGGCCAATAAAGCCAGATTGGCAATTTTAGATCTTCTTTCTCATCTGCATTTATGTCCCTGGTTTGTCCAGAAAAATATTTGAAGCTTAATAATATCTATAAACTAGCTAAAGGAGTTGTTTTAATTCATTCTTAATGTTTAATTTCTAGTTGGAAATAATTTGATGCATTTAATTTTCTTTACAGATAACAGTGATTTAATTGCTTGCACTGTGGTTACCAAGGAGGGCAGTCAGGCCCATCGATTCCTCGCCGTTGACATTTATCAGATGAGCTTGGTTGAACCTGAGAGTAAACGGCTTGGATGGGGAGTGGTGAAGTTTGCAGGTCTCCTTCAGGTAAGTTGCTGATGGTTAGTGGTTCCTGTATAAGTTATATCGAGTGGTTCATCCCGATTAAGTTGCTGTGTTTTGAGAACATTTTGCTATTTGTCATCTTGGTAAGTACCATTTTGGAAAAGTGTTCAGGTGATTGTAGTCCGTGGTATGTTCCAGGCATTTGTGTGCTTTTTGCAGTACAAATGCTAGTAGTTGTGTGGCAGCAATAAGCAATGCAAGCAGGATGTTGCACAATACTGCTTCACCTGCAGTTGAGTTCAAGTCCTGAGACATCACAATCAAACTGTATTGTGTTCTGGTTAGATCACATCTGGAGCATTGCTTCCAGTTCTGGGCAATGCAACATTAGTTGGCCATAGAGGCGGTGCAGAAACCAGGCTGATCCCCAGTGTTATGGGTTGGGCTATGAACATTGATTAAACAAGCTAGGGCTCTTCAGGCTTGAGAGAAAACTTCTCGAAGCGGATCTTACAGAAGCGTAAATTTTAAATGGGATTGAAAAGGTAAACTCAGAACAGTACTTTAGGAATCACCAAGACAGTAGAAGAAAACATAGGTTTAGAGTTGCAAAGAACAATTTCAGGACAGACACCAGAATATTTTTCTTTACCCAGAGGCAATTAATGACCAGAAGAGGTTGCCAAGAAGTTTGGGTGAGGCCAGGTTGTTGGATTCATTTTTTTAAAAAAGCACAGCTTGATGTTATGATGGGAAGATGGTGGGGAGTCTGGAAATATGAGATCAGATGGTCTGAAAACCTTCATCTGAGCCATTCTCGTCATCTTGTAATTTAGGAAAAGAAAAAAACTTGCAGAAATTGATGAAAGTTGCATATGACTGATTAAAACTACTTTGATTTTGTAGGACATGCAGGTCACTGGTGTAGAGGATGACAGTCGGGCTTTGAACATCATCATCCACAAACCAGCATCCAATCCTCACGCCAGGCCCTTCCCTATCCTCCAGGCCACGTTTATCTTCGCTGATCACATCCGTTGCATCATCGCAAAACAGAGATTAGCAAAGGGACGGATTCAAGCACGGCGAATGAAGATGCAAAAAATAGCAGGTTAGCATTGATTATCTGTAACCAATGGATCAATGCTCAGTGACCTTTTTAACCCACAGGCTTCAGATTTATACACGTCCATTTCGCAGAAGTTTAGTTTGCATTTATTCGCAATTATTACATCATATCCCATCTGCAAAGTTTTTCGTTTTTAGCTGAAAGCCATGGACTCCAGTAGACTCTTCAGTGAACCCTACACAACTGAGGACCCAAGGCCACCATATCACTGTTATATTATGCCAGTAACTTAATTCCAAAAAGAAGTTTCAAGCTTGAGAAACGGGATTAATTGCTCGCTTTTATGAGCAGATCATATTTTTCAGGGGTGTTTTTCTCAGTTATGGTCTTCTGTTTTTTTTTGCAAAATTCACTTATTCTCAGATTCATTAAAAAAGATTAATGAAAATGTAATGACATTCCCGGGTCGTTACGTGTAGGGACTTTGACATTGTGGGCAAACCAGAGCAGAATTTTGGCCATTGCTCTCATCAACAATATCATTACACTTAACAATATCCAGCATATTTTGCTCAATTTATTTCCAAGAATGACAGCAGCTGAGTGCTTCTGGAGAGCCAAAGTAACAAACGGGTTTGTGCATTAATATTGTATTACTATAATGTTTTTATTTACTATCCATTTTTGATTTTAACTGATGTTATAAATGCACATGTATAATCCTGCCAAAAAAAAAATTATTTGCTCACTCAGTCCACGACTTTTTGTGGGACACTGCTGTCAGCAATTGGCTGCCACATTTTACCACAAAGATACAGTCAATCCACTTTACAGTATATTCTGTGAAGTGCTTTGAGACGTCTAAAAGACGTGATAAGGCGCTATATTAAATGCAAGGATTAGTATTGTTGTTGTTATCATGTCAGTGTAATGCTTAGGTTGGCTTTCTGTGAAGTGGCTTTCAGTTCTCATTTTTGTCCCAGGCTTTTAGTGATTAATTAGAAATTGTAATCAGTTATTGCCCCAACAGCAGGACATTTTAATAAGGTTGTCACATTTAAAACTTCTTATCCAGTGTTTTCTTGAAGCTATGACTAGAGCTGCAGCAGGTCATTCTCTGAAACTCTGTTCATAGCAAATTATTCACAGTCCGTGTTTGATTACAGCAAAATGCTAATCAAAAATGTGACAAGTGACAAAGGTTGAGGGCTTGACATAGAATGGGTCACTAAAATTTGAAAATGACAATAGATTGTGAGTGAAAAAGATGTGTCGAGGAAGCACTTAATTGGTGAGAGGAGAAAACAGCAGGGAAAAACAAGTACCAGCAGAGAGGAAGTACAGAGAGAGAGAGGAAGCAGCCAGTGATGATGAAAGTCTGTGTTTCTGAAACTCTTTGAAGTATTGATAATCGTTGTTTAGCTTTTATTATTTTCATTTTCATCTTTTACTTAAATCCTTTACACTTTGTGCTGTGTATTTTAGTATTTTGTTTGAGTACATTGCTAAGTACGCTATTATAATTGAAAAACCTTCGGCTTGCGAAAGATTATTGATAATTTCACCTCGTAAGGACGAGACTGTGAAATGAAACTCCGTTTGTGAATTGTCCGTTCCAGGCAGTCTGGGCTTGCCTTTGCATCTACGGGAAATCAGGGCACAGGCTCGAGAGGAACGACCTTGTGTACAGCTCAAAGTAGGAGCCCTCTGTGAAAGCAGGCAGACTGCGGAAAGCATTCAATAAGATGAAACCCGACAAATATACAAAATCATGACAAATATTATTGAGCTAGTTTAAATTTCCAGCTCAGACATTTTGGCACTTCAAGTTTTTACAAGAATATTAATCCATTTCTCTCTGTCCCAGAATGCAGCCTTACTGCTAGCTAAAGAGAAAGTGATGCTCTCTCCACACTTGCATTTTTTTCCCCCCAGATTGCTCTTTTCAAATCGAGTTTTATGTTTACGGTGGCACCGAGTGGCAATGAGTCATTGAAACAGCGATTTAGGCCAGAAACCCAACTAAATTATTTAAATATAATGGATTTGGTGCTTCAGCTCGGGCAGTTCCGTGGACTGTAGAAAGTTTACAAAGTCTTAACCCAAAACTAGTTAATTGTTCATATAACAGGCTTTAGTAATCAAATGTTATTGAAATATCCATTCCAACTCTTCTCTCCCCCTCCCCATCCCAAATGGTACCTATGGTTATTTAAACAGTGGTTTAAGTGTCAAAGAGGTTTGACTGTAAATCACTTTCTTACCTCGCTTACAACTGCCGTGTTTCTGAAATGTAGGTCTTTGACACTTTGAGAAAATGGCATGAGTGTCTCTCACACAATATATTTGCCATGCTCATCAATTGGAGCTGAGTTAGTACTGCTAAGGGTGACTGTATTTCTTATTTCTTTGGCGAAACTGTTGCAAATTCTCCCATAGGAAATGGCTACTGCAAACATGCACCCGCTGTTTGACTAATTATTAGGTGATGGTTGCATTATCTTCAGATTGATGTGGTGAGTTATTTTGCAATTCAAATAATGGAATCAAAAGAGACCAGTTTAGTTATTTGATGGATATTTTATTGCATGAGATAAAACATTTGCACGCGAACACAGAATTTAACATGCTTGTATTTTCTTCCAGTGTGAAGCCAAAGTAATTCAAAATGAAATAAGGTGCACGGGAAACGTTTCAATCTTGTAGCATATGTGGTAAAGTTCCATCCCAAATTGATAACCGTTTGTTTGATGTTATTTTTTTCAAATAGGCATTTATACCTTTTGTTTGAAATGTAATGGTTGCTAACAATAAATGATTTTGATTGTATTTTCTAGCACTTTTGGACCTTCCTGTGCAGCCTTCCTCTGATGTCATGGGATTTGGACATGGATCATCTTCTACAGCCCACCATCTACCTTTCCGATTCTATGACCAGTCTCGTCGTGGAATCAGTGATCCCACCGTTCAGCGTTCCGTGTTTGCTTCTGTTGATAAAGTTCCAGGTAATGTTTGATATGTGTCTACTTGTAAGGGCACTTCTTTTAAGCTATCCAATGTAAGAATAATTAATGGACGTTAGCACTTGGAGAACTACATACTATATACGTTTTCATCCCTCATTGCATTGAAACCCACCACCTGATCCCTTGACCCTCATCCCCACCCTCTCTTGACCTCCCAGCGCCACCTCCTTGCTCACTTGCTAATGGACATTGTTAACTTCTCCCTGTTCATGGGTACAGTTCCCACTCCTTCAAAACCGTTGTTATCACCCCACTTTTTTTAAAAAAACTCCCTTGACCATCCATGCTCCCCTAATCACTGTCCCATCTTTAACTTTCCTTTCCCATCCTCACCCCCATCCTCACCCAGCTTTGCTGGCTTCTCACCTCCAATGGATTGAGTTCAAACCTTGAATCCCTCCATGCTGTCGTCCCCACCCTACCTCCGTGACCTCAAACCCTACGACCCGGCCACCCGCTTCACTCAGTGGGCACTGGCCCACTTCATGTGCCCTGCCCTACCCACCCCAACATTTAGCCTTTCTGCCCCATTCTCTGAAACACCATCCCTCCTTCACCTCATTCAAGGTCCGTCTCAAGACCTACCTCTTTGACCAGGCTTTCAGTTGTCTTTTCTCTCCCCAGCCCACCTCTGCTCCCCCCGCAACCCCTCTTCCCCCCCGGGCCTCGCCTCGGGTGCCAGACCAGTGTTAAGCACCTTGGGACGTCCTCCGAATATGAAGGGTGCTATATAAATGTAAATTTGTATTGTATCAGTTACATTTGAAAATGAAATGGTTTAGAGGAGTTACACTTCTCAAGGATCCCCAAACTCTCAATGAATACTCATTCTGGTATATGATTCTTGAAATCATATTTTATATTTAGTTACATGTTAAAATATACATGGGTTAGTGTAGCGCCCATATCTCTGGTCTGTGTGTTGGGACCAGTTCGGCCATCGAGGTAGGTGCTGTTTGACGATCTTGTATGCCTGATCCCGGTCCTTAAACCAGATTTCACTAAGCTACCTGAAAGCCAAGGCAAAATGTGCAGGGCATTCTATTATCAGCCCGTGAACTGGCCTCCCATGTTTTGAATGGACAATGAGCAGAATTCAGGAATGTGTAACGAGATGTATTGTTACATTTGGATTGTATATAAACTGATCCATACCTTGGAACCATGAAAGGAATTCAGACGACTTCATAAACCATAGGAGTAACTTTTTGCCTTTTTTAACCACTGAGAGGCATTTTAAACCCTTCTTTGGAAAACATCTCCAGATTTGTGTGTCATTTAGTAAAGCTTTTGAAAGCTACTTTGATTGTATTACGATACATTACAGTACAACATTTATGAGGTGACGTGCTTGGCGACAGAATGTCAATCAAGTCGTGACTGTTGGTGGTCTGGTTCCTGATCCAGGCGGGTCCACAGTACTCAAAGGCTGATAACAGACCAACCCGGCTGTCAGCCACGCTCAGCATTGGGATCTGGAGGGGAAGCCCAGTCACTGGGAGCAGACAGTTAACTCTGCCTGTTAACCCTGCACTCCAAAGTCCAAGCTAGTTTAACACCAAGCAGTATCACAATGTACACTGTAGGATCCCCAAGCCTTGGTTCTTGCCAGCCCTAATTAGGTGCCTAATAAGCAAGGGTAAGCAGGGTGCATCCCTCCAGAGAAAGTGCACGCTCCATTACAGACATAGGAACATTTCTAACGTGTAGTTGATATAAATACAGTACGGGGAACTCTGGTGAAGGAGAGGACACGAGATGCAGAGTTCCAATGGAAGTAAAGGAAACGGCCATTGTATAGGAAGCAAGCCAGGTGGCTGTGCATGTACACGTTAAATCTGGCTATTCTGCCCTTATTGTAGGACAGATTGTGATTTTATGGATTCCAACCAGCACGTTGTAATGGGGTTCCACAGTGTAGTTCAAGAACTTGGAGCCATGGAAGTGTCTCGGTTCAAATTATTGTCTATAAATTAATTCATTATCAACTCATTTATATGCACTTTGGATTGTAAAAGCAAGGGATAGTCGTATCATAAATTTACAATAGGAAGGTTTGAAACAAATTCTAGGTTGGAGAACAGATGTCTTTCAACGTTCCTGTATAAACACACAGAATCGTTCAGAGTTTCTAATATATTACCATATAAAAAAAACGAAATGCAAACACTGAGAGGAACTATAAGACACTGAAATCGATACATTCAGCAAAAGATTGATTGAGCCCAAAATATTTATATTACAGCCTTACAGTATGGGTATCACCATTTTCATTCTAACGTGTTTGTTACCATGTTTTTTGAGCTATTCAAGTTTATTCAGATTATGTTTAACAGCAGTTACTAGGTTGGAGTGACACTGTGCTTCTGACGTGCTGCATTTGTCAGTTCTAACAATTCATATGAAATATGATTTCCCATAACTGCATCTGGGTAGGTTTTCTTGTGTTTGCCTCTGGAGCATTTCCAGGGCTGTTTATTTACTTAGGAGTGTGTTTTTCTCCAGTGATGCATTTCCTGGAAGTTTCTTTCCATTAACTGATTCCCTAAAAAGGAATTATTTTGACATTCGTCCATTCACAACTTCTAGTCCCAGTGAGCTGTTGCATGCCAAGTCATATCACATGTTGGGATTTAGTCACGGTTTACTCTTTGCGTTCAGATCTGGCAGTTTCTACCTAAACACAAACTACAGCCAACTGACTGCCGTAAACCCATCGCCTCCCGGCGTTTAGGGCACTGTATAAATGCAAGTTGTTGTTGTTGCCATAAAGCTAAGGCTTAGGGGGGAAAATCAGCAATAGTGACGGTGCCTTTAATAATAATCCTTGCATTTGATATAGCGCTTTTCATGTCTTCTCGACGTCTCAAAGCGCTTCACAGAATATACTGTAAAGTGAATTGACTGTATATTTGTGGGCGAAACGCGGCAGCCAATTGCGCACAGCAGTATCCCACAAACAAACAAACTTTGTTTATAACCTCTCCTTGGTTTAAAATAAACACGTCAGTAGATTGGAGTGATACTGTACTTCTGGTGTCCTTTTCTTCCTGCAACATTTCTTCCAAGTGTTTTTCTTATATGTGTCTTTGAGCAATAATTTCACCTTGACAGACAGCAAGAACAGTGACAAGCTATATGATTTTACATGGTTTAGGGTCCAGCAGTTACCCGAACGTACACTCTGGGGTCCCCAAGCTTTGTCTCTTGCCAACCTGCTTTCTCGAATTAGGTAAGCAGGATGTGTCCCTTCAGGGAGAGAGAGAGAGAGAGTGCATTCCATTCCAACAATCTATCTCTGAGATTTCCATGTGTAGACGGGATGCATGGAATTCTCAGTTTTGTTTGGATACCCTTAAGCAACGGTGATGGGTTTCCACATGTGTCAGACACATGGCTGACTAAAACAAAAAAATATTTTGGCTCTTTCAGCTTGTATGCATTTGGAGCAGATACACTCTGGGACATCTTCTCCACGTAGGTCTAACAACAACTTGCATATTACATATTAAATGTATTATATGCTCTAACATGTACGTATTACATCGACCTGAAACGTTAACCCACTTTCAACTCTCCATAGATGCTGCTTGATTTGCTGAGTATTCCTAGCGACTTCTGATTCTATTTCAGATTTCCAGCATGTAGAATCATAGAATCTTACAGCACAGAAAGAGGCCATTCGGCCCATCGAGTCTGCGCCAGCTCCTAAAAGAGCAATCCAACTTAATCCCACTGGCTCGCTTTCTTTCCATAGCCCTGCAATCCTGTCCTTCCCAAATACCCATCTACTTCTCTCTTAAAAGTTGTTATTGAATCGGCTTCCACTACCTTTTCACGTGACCCTTGACCAGGACGTAAGAGAGTAAACTTGCCCTGTTATTTAAGGCAAGCAGTGTAGCAAAGCAATGATTTATTCTTGTTGCTCACAAGGAAAATTGGTTCCAGATGCAAACTCCGAAAGAAAAGTTATATAAATGTGGAGGGTGTTCAGAGCTTAAACCTGCTCATGGGGCCAGTTAAATATGTTAAATCACTTACTTTGCACTAATATATCATCATGGCTCAGACCATCATATTTCACCAGTAATGTTATCCCCATGTCCTGTCCTCCCAACATGAAAGGAGCAATACAAATGTAATTTTGTATTGTATTGTAATTCTTCTCTATGTGCAATTTTCAACAACAATAATAATCATTTGATATGGCTCCTTTCGCATCAGGAGAACGTCTCAAAGGGCTTCCCTGGGTTTTAAGTCTAGTGACCGTATATTTTGTAAGTATTCCCTGCAGGCATTTTGAGCATAGCAATAATGATTGTTGGCCAGGACACTGGAAGAAACTACGTTTTCTTTTCAAATAGTGCTTTGGGATCTTTAACATCCACTTCAACAGGAAGACAGGACCTCGGCTTAACATCCCATCTGATTGACGACACCTCCGACAATGCAGTGTTACCCTCAATGGTGTGTTGAAGTCTCAGCCTAGAATGAGAGTTCAAAGCTCTGGTTTGGGGCTTGAACATATCCTCTGACTCAGAGCCAAGTTTACGAATTGAAACAGGCAGTGTATTTGCTTAACAAAATCTCACTTGCTAACTCAGACTATTAGGGAAATCTGTTTTCTTATTGTAAAAGAAAAATGTTGTTTGAAGAAACATTAATGTATGCCTTGTAATAAAATGTTTCACTAGATTTCAGCCAAGCTTTTATAAAATAATTTATTATATGATCACTGGATTCCTTTCAAACTTGGCACAGCAAACCTGCTTGTGTGCTTGAATCATCGCTCTCCAGCTCACTAATGTATTACACATGTACCAAATACTTTCTACAGGAGCTCTTTCATGAAAAACAAGCTTGTAACTTTATCTAATTTCAGAATCGAGTGGAGGGTTGCAGTGGGTAGGGGTTATATTACAGATAATAATAATCCTAGCGCCTTATCACATCATTGAGACATCTCAAAGATACTGTAT